TGCTGCCCTTTGACCCCCCCGGCCACGGCCGGTCTCACCGTCTGGCCCCCACCGGCAAACGGGCTAACGTTTCACAGTTAGGTTCTCACGGCTCATACATGAATGCATGTATATACCGGCTCTGAAACGTGGACGGCGATTGGCCGTTGCCGCTACGGCCGCCGTTGTCCGGCCACGATCCGCCGCGCCGGGTACGTGGGCGATGCCCGTCGTTCCCGGCGACCAAGAATGGGTTCCCGGGACCGTTCCTGGGCTCCTTTGAGCCCTGCTCTCTGCCAACAACCTCGACACCCTATTTCCCTCGATACCTAACCCACCCGCCGGGCTGGTCAACATCCGAGATCGCTTGCTCGACATAGCTGTTTCCATCGAGACCACGGCCGATAATTGAGACTGCCGACAGTCGAAAGTGTTTTATGCGCCGTGCACACGGGGAAATCGATGGTATCGTTCTGTAGAATCGTGCTGTAGCTCGCTTAATCTCTTGCGTTGGAAGTTAACGCATTGCGTAACGGCTGATTTTCAGAAAACCGAAGTGTGCGGATGGCAATTTTTACTGAGGTCAACTTATGTCACTATACATAGAGAAACTCATAAAAAATGTCATATTGTTATGTAATATATTTTAAATAGATAATCAATTCGAATGAAATTTTATATTTTTTTCAATGCTGTGGTCGTTAGCGAAGTTGCATAGTTAAGTGTCTTTAAAGAGGAGCGAGATTTCTCGTTACCGGTACACAATGTGTTACACGTTCGATGCCAGATGATTTCATAGAGGAAAATATACAGAACGAGAAAAATATGTTAAGATATTCGATTGAATTGCGATATTATTATTGTATGTTCATGTATCATTTAATGTGTTAATTGTGGTTTGATTTGTTAATTTAGTAGTTTGCTTGGAAACCATTCAATGTTATAAGATCAGTGATATAGTAATAGAAGCAATAGCAGTTAAAGTTTAGTCTGAAAACGTAGCTCGTAAGGTGGAGATAAAATTTCTGTTATGTCGTGGTTAAAGAATTTATTTGAAGCGAACAATCGGTTATTTTCGAAAAAGGAAATACGCGGTTACTTTCGAAGTAGAAAAATACCGCAGTATGTACTGTTTCGAAGGCAGAATTCATGTTTTTCTGAAGAAGGGAAAATACATTCCACAAATATTTGCTTTGCAAATTGCAATCGCGGGAATATCGAAATTGCACGGTGGCGCGTGAAACTTTTCAACCGCAGACCTGGAAATGGAAAACAAACGTTTGAGTACTGGTTTCAGCGTTTTTCGTATTTACTTAATATATAAAAATGTGTGAACGTGTTTTGCGATGAATACATTTCGCTGTTCTGTATAATTCAAGGTAAAAGATATCAAAAATTCAAATATTGAAAGCAATATACCGAAATGAATAAATTTTAGACTTTCGTGCATACTACTGTAATATATACATATATTAACATTGAATTTATAATTTTATATTGGATGACAATTAACATGCAATGCATTTGATTACGTTGGTACAAAATAACTTCACAGAAACGCAGAAATAATTCATCACTTTCTTCCAAGACACGTCGTACATTCTAATTTCACTCGACAAAGAATAGTTTAACCCTTAGTAACCTCAGATTACTTTAAACCTTTAACCCCAGCTTACAACCAGTTAATTTTTCTATTATTCCTCAAATTTCCAATGCGATTTTAATCTTCAAGCACGTTTCTTGAAGGTTCCATTATCGTCTCAAGACAAAAAATAAATTAAAACTGTAAAAATACATATTGATTATGATTTATTATAATATTCCAATCCTTATTTAAACATTTTCGGAGAGATGTTCATGATTTGCGAGTTACTCGTTACAAACGGTTAACACTAGATTTACAGTCATTCACTGCACAATTTACTCTGTCTCTATTATGGAAATTGATATTCGTTCGTTATACTTTGAAAATTAAAGGTTCAAAGGGAAAGCAATTAGAATGCATATTTGCGTATCTGTATCAATCAAAATTGACCCAAACATTCACCCGACAAACTTTATAAAATCAATACGAGTTAATTATTGGCTCGTTCCGTAAATCTATCGTTAATCAGCGAAGCGTAAGTTAATTCGAACGTAACCGCGAATCGAATATTGAACCGCGTTTCATGCGTCCGCTGAAAGGGGAAGCACGCTGGACGTTCGCGATCCGTATGAAAACGAAAAATCGGGGTCCGTAATAAAATTTGCGACGTCGAATAGAAATGTTTGGATTATTTAAAATCGGACTGCGGGGCAGCGCGATGAAACTCTCGGAATTCTGTCACGTACTTCCGTCGACAGTCCAATTACCGCTTGTCAGAGACACTCTGAAATTGTTTCTCTGTGCATCGCGAGCCCCGTTTCCTGATTACTATTAAACGTCGCGACGGAAAATCTACCGTTTCAAGCTGAAAATGCGGGCAGGGCGGGGGAGGATCGGATAGTCAAGTTGAACGACAGGCAGCCCGTGAAACGTGATTTAATTCAAATTATTAGGCGAACGGCTGTCGTCGATCACGTTAAACGACGGGTCTTCGAAAAGAATATCGCGAGTGATTAGTCAATTAATCTACATATTGCCAAACACTCTATTAACTTTGAAGCGCAAGAATAATTCTAATCGGAGATGCTGGAAGTTCGTACAAATTTATATTTTTATAGATAAATTTGAAGAAATTGAGGTTGAATAGAGTTGTTTCTTATACTGATGATTTCACTGGCTAATTAGTAATATAAAATTCTCTTTTGAATATTTTCTAGTATCTATTTATCTATGAGAATCAAACTTATTTATCGATGAGTTAGAAAATACATGTGTTTGTAGTTTACGTTGGATAATTATTGCAACGTAAATTAAATAGAAGTTTAAAGAAGTATTGAAGAATATAAAACAATTAATTGGAAAACATGAAATTTGGGGAAACTTTAAAAATTTACTTCGATCCACGCGATGAATACCTTTCTGTTATTAAAGAGTATGAAAAATCATTTCCGTTTATTTTTACCGTTACGAGTTTCCTTATAGAAAATCGTTATCGTTTACACAGAACAATTTTGCACTCGGTTGTACTCGTGGTCCTGACCCAACCTGCATTATTATCGCACGAATATCCACCAATGGTATCACGACACTGCCGAACCAGAAATTCCTCGCTCATTAATTATTGACTACTCACTTCCTGCTGGATCCCCCGGAGTACTCGTTCTTTTTACCATTTTAGAACGACCGAAATCGTACCGTCACAGGCTCATATATAATTCGCGGCGCTGCGTTCTATTTCGAGCCGGTGCACGGCAAATTTTCGAGGGACTGATGCATTTATCGAGTTGTACTAAAGTAGAACTCCGGCAAACTCGGAAATGAACGTTTAAAAAGTGAACATTTCTTTCTCGGAATGCTTCGGCGGAAATAGATTATAACGGAGACAGGGGAAGTAAGTTTTATTAAAGCTGACACGACCTGTTTTCCGTGGTTATTAAACATCACGCTGACGGATGATGATCATGAGGACGGATGTCAGCATATTAGCTGCGTGGAGCTTTCGAAAATGTCGATGCATGGTCTCTCTTTTGACACTAGATTTACGGAATGAGCAAATTTCACTCGTACCGAATTTTATAAACATCATTCGATAAATGTTTGGATCGAGTTTGACTGATGGAACTGTGCGAATATGTTTTCTAATGATACACTTTGAAACATCGAATTTCCTAGACCAAAACGAATCTTTCCGGGAACAATGGGATAAACTGTACAATGAGTATCTGTAAATCTAATGTTAAAGATTCTATCTAGATATAATTTAATTTTTCTGTGTGAAAAGGTTTGGATACTTCTAAGGATTCTCGACTATATTAATTTTCAAAATAACTCACTGTAATAGAGTTAATTGTAAAGCTCAAACTTGTACAAGTATTATAGAAGAGATTACCTGTTTTATTTTATTGTTTAGCGGTTGTTCGTTTATTTATTAAAAACGCGAGAAAGAAAATAGAAATAGATGAGAATTTGAACTTCTCAGTTCTGTTGTTTATTGATACAGTTTTTACAGTTGTATAGATGCGAAATGAAACAGAGCAAAAGGCAACATGTTCACAAAGAATGCGATATCCAAATTCGTTCGTTCAGATTTTGTACATTCACGTTGTTTCGTGGATAGTTCGGTGTGTTTTTTGCTCTGAATTTTCCATTAGCGGAACGATCAATTTTTCATCACAATGCGGGAAAGAAACTCACGTGCCTCGCCCTGCCGCCGCAATGGAAAGTTCATTAACGGTGTTTTTACTTCGCGAGGGTTGACCGGCGAAGTTTGAATAAACACGGTTAAGGCTGGTTCGTTGAAATTCTGCGTTAGTAGTTTTTCTCTGGAGACCACGGTGCCGATGAAAAAACTTTCCCACCAGACGGGGAGAAATCCCTCTCTATACTACACCGTAAACGAGTTGCTTTAAAATTACTGCTCCCTTATTTACGTCGATAGAGAAATATATAAATTGCGTGCATTCTTTAAAACGCGATGAAAACATTACGGATATTGAATTCCCTTAAAAATTAAAATTAAAAACAAATGCCTTAATGTGGCGTACACCGTAAACGAGTTACTTCAAAATTAGTGCTCTTTTATTTATGATGAAAGACAAATATATAAATTACGTGCATTCTTTAAAACGCGATGAAAACATTACGATATTGAATTCCCTTAAAAATTAAAATTAAAAAGAAATTTCTTAATGTTCTTGAAAAAGCAATTCGAAAGGGTGAGAAATGAATGTCAGAAGTTTCTGTATCATTCGCTGCATGTTTATAAAATAGTCACTAAATAATTACTGGAAGAATCTTGATTACTAAGGAAAATGATTCTTTAACCCCCTTCTGGTAGAATGAAGGGGTGAGTCGTCTGTAATAATTTAGCAAACGATTGATCGAAGTTGCTCGAGGAGAAAGATATTCAACACAATATTCGACGTTTCTGTTTCAGTTTTAAACGAGCTCGAGGGTTTGGCTAGGGGCGCAGACGCCCGGGACTGTCCTCCAGCCTCTAGGGCGGCGCTGGATCCGGAGCACGTGGCCAGGGTGGCTGAGAGCGCGAAAGCGGCACTGAATTTCGCCAGAAGCAGGAATCCAGCTATCCGGTGCTTAACCACGAGAGGAACTGTCCTTACATCTAGCACTTTCACCGTCGAGGAGGATGTTGACAAGGTAAGGAGATCATCGTTGCCGTGGAGAACACTGTCGCTAAGATTCTGGCCGGGGAAGTCGAAGAAATACGATGAAGTCCGGGAATAGGGTAGATTAACCCTTTACTACGCGATTCCTTACTAATCAAGATTAATAAATTATTCGATCGCTAATCGTTTAATAGAAGAGAAGAGAATTCTACTTCGATTTCCAACGAAATACAAGAATTATTCGCCAATCAAATGAAATCGATGAGTCCATTTTCTCGGCTAGTTGGTTAAAAATAATTCACTTTTCTCTTACTGAGTAGGTGTACCAAGCATTTCACTCGAGATTTTTTAACTGGAAATGTTCGAAATTTTCCGACGAGATATGGACGACGTTATTCGAAATTAATTTAACGATAATTTATGAATAAATCAAGCAACAAAGCTATTTTATTTAAGTATTTCGCATAGCAATACAAAGTCTAATTTAAAATACTAAATATTCTGCATATCATACTGAAAACTGTAGGATCTACAGTTAATTGTATGCATAATTATTAACAAATCAAGGGTCACCGTAACCAGTTCATCAATTCCAATCTTTGCTTATTAGAAATCAGCTAATCTAACGATTACAATATTTAGATTCTTATAGTATTTACAACAAAACCATAGATTCCTGTATCCAAATGGTTTTTACGGTAACAGTGTTACACGAAGCAGAGTACTGACGATTACAAGGCTTCGGTTTCTCCGTACATTAACTGATAACCGCAGAAACTCTCGCGAGAGTGCTCAGCTGATAAGAATCGTGTATAGACCGCCGCGACGTATCCGAAAGATGCAAGCATGGATTGACCGGTGGTTATTGAAGCGCGAATGTTATGATAAGAGGTCGAGTGTCCGAGAACCCCCAGGTTGGTGCACAAATAAATTCTTCTCGCGGCGTTGGTGTGTAACTTCTGCTGCGGCACGCACCTCCTCCGGCTGTCGCTTATCTACCCGGACAACATGCAGGATACACGGATTGGACGGGATCGTAGCAGGGCGGGACCTTGATCTGTCAAACGATAGATAACGCGTGCTCGTTAGATTTTATTCTGTTCCGCTTCGCCACCCTGTGTCTTTGATTATAGTATAACATGCATTCGGGCAGCAGCATTTTTTTTATCTATGCCAAGTCGGGGAGAGATGGTCCACTTTTAAAATAGCTTTTAAACTTTTACAATTTTTAACACTTTTAAAATAAATAACTTTTAATGTATTTGTGAAGTTGAATATGCGTGAGGGGAACAGTTAAATAGATTTCTCTACAAGATGCTACTGAGAACACTTGGAAATGTAGATATTTGAAAAATGAAATGGAATCGGGCCATTTTATCTGGAATTACCTTAGTTTTGGGATATTTTGAAAGGAGTACGTTACAGAAAGCATTTAAATTAGATTAGGAATATTTTGTGGGGGAATAGATTATTATAATATATTACGAATAGAGTATTGAGAGCTGATTTGTGATCTATGAAAATTGATTTTCACTTTGTAATTGCCGAGTCAGACTTTAATGAATTAAAGTATCGTTGAAGTGATACATTTAGACTAAGGATTCTTCTGTCCTCGTATTCTGTTCGTATTCGATTTTAGGTTTAAGTGATCGAAAACATCAGCGAATTGAGAAATTTGAATGCAAAATTTTGCTACCCGGATATTGCGGGTATAAGCCGATGTCTTTCCTCTTCCTCGTCGGTCGCTCTTCTGCATGCTCCGGGACCCTCTTCCTCGACTTCCTTCGTTGAAAGTTTCGCGGTGAATGCAGACGACGCATTATCGTTCGTGAGCTGAGTCGGGAAGCTGGGGATAGACAATCAGAGCCCCATTCTTTAGACCCTGATTGTCTTGAGCAGTTGTGCTCGAGTATTCTTTAGGAATAGTAACTCGATCGACTTCGGGTACTTCGGTGCGTACTCGATTAGTCGAGTTAGTTACGACCATAGTTGAAGTTTGAACAATTTTTCAAATTACAAAACATTGGTTATCTGTAACAATTGTAATTAAATTCTGTTAGAATACTTATTCCTTAAATATTGCCTCGAATGACTTGTATCAATAATTCTCAATTCATCTAGTGTCCAGTTTTCTTCAGAAATCAACATTCTATCTTTTTCTTCATAGTTCAGCACATTTAATTTAATAGTCAACTAACAGGACTCATTTATTATCTATCAACGGATCCAGATTTGCGTTATCAGTTGCTTGGTAACTGCTAGATAAGAATCATAAACGTTTGCTCGTTCGCAATTTGGAAAATGTTGGAAGTAGAAAGATTTCTCGTTTCGTTCGAGAAAGAAAGTGGTCCCGAACGAAGAAACTGGCCATTGAGATTCGCGGAAAGCGGGCACGTGGCGTTTCGCAAATAATAAAGCACCCCGTGCGATTATTCTGTTGCAGGACGGGTTGACAAGAAACGATGACAGAATACTGGCTACGTGCTTGAGCCTCTGCAAAACGGGTAACAAAGATCAAGCAAACGCAGGTACGTACACGGCGATACGTATGGTATCTCTTAGGTGTATACGTCGGCCACGTTTCAACAATTCCTGCCGCCGCTCTGATAGTGATTAATACCGGGTCGATTGTAATTCTCGTTTACACGGAGATTAACCGTTATCGAAAGGGGCTAGCGCTGTGTTACCGTGCGCCCGAGTCGACGCGTTCACCTTTTACGAGCCGCTTATCGCGGTAGCGTTTATCAGCCGACGTACTACTAATTATTCGATTCTTTTTGATCGCGAAAACGACACCTAATGGAATTTGCGCCGTCGCAGCGTGGGCGCTCGACCTGATAACGTATTAATTGACGATTTATTAGCGATCCCGTTTCTAGATGGACGATAAAAGGGACTAAGAACGTTCGGATTTATTCTGGGAACTTGAGAACCTTGAAATCAGTAAAGAGACAAAAGTTTGTTTCACGGTTAACAGATTCACGAAGTTAAATTCGATTTTTCCAAACCATTCGTATTCTTGACAACTACAAGTAGTATAAGTATACAAAATTCGAAGTGTGAAGGTTGAAGAAATTTGCGTTCACATTTCAGTAACTTCTTTCGAGATTATTGAAAAGGAACAGATGCTTCTTAAGGAAATGAGTAATGAAATTGATTTAAAAATACGCAAACTAAATTATAAATCAATGGAAATCTCAGCGGACACAACGTTGGTGTTTCTATTTGAAAATTAGGAAACCTAATTGAATTACTCGGTAGTTCTAACGTTAAATTAACCACAAAATTTAAAGCGAGATCTTAAAACAAACCTATAATACTTTCAAACAACTAATCAGAGATAAAACAGGCAAGAACAAAAGAATGATAGCCAATAACAAAAGCATAAGAAACGAGAGAGAAGTAATATGAAAGCAAATTCGCCCAACCAATTTGTTCGCAGAAGAGGGTCAACCGCGGCGTCTGCGAAGGGAGGTGGTCCTGCTGACGGAGGACAGGAACCTGAGGGTGAAGGCTTTGGCGAGGGACGTGCCCGTCAGAGAGGTGCCCGACTTCATGCAATGGGCCGGCCTCGGCTGAGACGTTTACCCGACCAGACCCACCCGCTAACGAAAAATCTCCCGTTACCCCCGCCGAGACAATTTCGACCAGCAAAAAGCAGCAAACAGCAGCAAACCGCAGCAGCAGCCGCAGCCGCAGCCGCAGCATCATCAGCAACACCTAGTAAGACCGAAAGGAAAGCACGAAAGATGAACAGAGGGAAAAGAAAAAAGACTCGGGAAGAGGATGTCTCGTGAGTAGATGTTAAATCGTGTGCTCCCCTTAAAGAATCGTGACCGATCAGCTGTCACGCGTGAAAAGTTTCACTCTGTACACTCAGAAACACGATCGCACACACATACACGTATACACACACACATACACAAACACAAAGCAACAAACACGCTCGCGAGCTCTTCTCAGCTGGGCGAGGACAACGGCGGCGGTGTCGCGTCATTATTCCACGATGATGTCACTTAACCCTCGAACGAACCGCAACACACGAAATCACGGATCATTCGGAAAAGATTGTGTGCGCGAGACACAAGCGAGGTTTAGCGTCTCATCTCCAACACGAAGAATTCATGAAACAGACAACAACAACAACAACAACAAAAACAACAACAGCAACAACAAGAGAAAAAAGAGTAACGAAAATTCGGGACAGCGGAGAATCGTCTAGGACCGTTCTCATCCCTCGAGAGTTTATAGCAGTCGGTCCAGCTAGGACGCGCTTCTCGCGCGAGATTCGAGGGCGGAAATCGAGATGATAGGGTTACGAATCGACGAAAGAAGAGAACGGACGATGATGTTAGTTCACTGATGTTTCTTTGTTCCGCGAATTAGATGGTAAACGGTGACTAACTGTTTGAAACGAAAGG